CATATTGTGATTTGTTTCTGGTCCTCATCTTATACATATTATAAGCATTGAGCATGGAAATGTCCAGAAGATGGAAAAAGAGTTTCATGTACCACTTATAACTCTTGCAAGCACAATCAGCAAACCCAATCTGCATGTCACATTTGTCCACTGAACGCATATTAAAGGTGTAATCAATCACAGCTGCAGGTTTTAGAATGGGTTCATTGTTCTCTCTATGCTGCCTGCCAGCATAGGTTCTATCATTGTTCTAACCACATCACCAGAGATGCCCAATAACTTCCTGGTATTTTGCAATGTATAACTTCCAGTGTACACAGTAATATCCAATACCAGACCACTGTAACAATCACAAAGCACAAACAACTTTGTTCCAAAGCGTTTCCTCTTGCTTGGTATGTACTGCTTGAAAGAGAGTCTTCCTTTGAACAGAATCAAAGATTCATCAATTACAAGCTTCCTGAAGGGATAAAAATACATATTGAATTTCTCTTCCAGATACACAAACACATGCCTAATCTTATATAACCTGTCGTTTCTGTCAGGCCTGGTTTTGTCTGAGAAGTGAAGCATACGTAACAGTAGCACAAATCGATTCACTGGCATTATATCACTGAAAGCTGGGGTTGCAATCAGGCGGTCTGTTGACCAGTATGATTTCACTCTGTGCTTATACACATGTGGCATAAGCATTATTGTGGCAAAGAAAAGATACATCTCAGCCACAGTTGTCTCCTTCCACTGGTGTAGACGTGATTTTGGTGAAAGTACTGTGTTTGCCATGGTGTACTCGTAGTATGTGTTGCTTTCCTTGACAATACTTTCCATCAGGGGTTCATCAAAGAATAACTCAAAACATTCCAGTTCAGTGGCATTGTTCCCAAGTGTACAAGATGGCCGTATTCCACTTTGGCTGTCATCAAACTGGTGGGGATTTGGGACAAAATTGACAGCTTCCTGCCAATCCCAGGTGTGGTCTGCTGGTGGGTACTGGACAATGACAGGTGGTTGTAGTTGTGGAGGTTGTGGTTGTGGAGGCTGGTGTGGTGAGTGGGTGGGGGATGGTGGCCTTTGTTGTAGATCAGCTGAGGCAACAGCGTGGGTGGCAGCGTGGGTGGCAGCACGGCCCACTGCTGGTGCCTCACAGCCGGCACCACCACTACCACCACCATGCACATTTTCCATCCCAGTTGCAACACTATCATCGTCATTTTCACTGTCTGTTCCTGTTGAACAGGCACGGGATGTGCTCCGAGATGTACTCCTTTCCCTTGGAATAGCATATGGCACACTACCAGAGCGCATATACAGTATCGTCGTATATACTGACGCTTCACTGGGGAATATTGCACTTCACTATCACTACTGGAACTAGTTTGAAGAGCTTGTAGTTCATAATCACTATCACTATCATCACAAATGCTCACATCTGAGTCTGGGATTTGGGAAAATAGGGCGAAATGACAGTAGTTTGTTGGATTATGTATTGGTAGATAAAAGACTGTTGAGTAGACTTCAGGATGTACATGTTTATAGAGGGGCCACAGTTACATCAGATCACTTTCTAGTTGTAGCTACACTGAGAGTAGCTGTATAGCCCTTGTGGCTTAGCGCTTCTTTTTTATTATAATAATAATAATAATACACTGAGAGTAAAAGGTAGATGGGATACAAGGAGAATAGAAGCATCAGGGAAGAGAGAGGTGAAGGTTTATAAACTAAAAGAGGAGGCAGTTAGGGTAGGATATAAACAGCTATTGGAGGATAGATGGGCCAATGAGAGCATAGGCAATGGGGTCGAAGAGGTATGGGGTAGGTTTAAAAATGTAGTGTTCGAGTGTTCAGCAGAAGTTTGTGGTTACACGAAAGTGGGTGCGGGAGGGAAGAGGAGCGATTGGTGGAATGATGATGTAAAGAGAGTAGTAAGGGAGAAAAAGTTAGCATATGAGAAGTTTTTACAAAGTAGAAGTGATGCAAGGAGGGAAGAGTATATGGAGAAAAAGAGAGAGGTTAAGAGAGTGGTGAAGCACTGTAAAAAGAGAGCAAATGAGAGAGTGGGAGAGATGTTATCAACAAATTTTGTTGAAAATAAGAAAAAGTTTTGGAGTGAGATTAACAAGTTAAGGAAGCCTAGAGAACAAATGGATTTGTCAGTTAAAAATAGGAGAGGAGAGTTATTAAATGGAGAGTTAGAGGTATTGGGAAGATGGAGGGAATATTTTGAGGAATTGTTAAATGTTGATGAAGATAGGGAAGCTGTGATTTCGTGTATAGGGCAAGGAGGAATAGCATCTTGTAGGAGTGAGGAAGAGCCAGTTGTGAGTGTGGGGGAAGTTCGTGAGGCAGTAGGTAAAATGAAAGGGGGTAAGGCAGCCGGGATTGATGGGATAAAGATAGAAATGTTAAAAGCAGGTGGGGATATAGTTTTGGAGTGGTTGGTGCAATTATTTAATAAATGTATGGAAGAAGGTAAGGTACCTAGGGATTGGCAGAGAGCGTGCATAGTTCCTTTGTATAAAGGCAAAGGGGACAAAAGAGAGTGCAAAAATTATAGGGGGATAAGTCTGTTGAGTATACCTGGTAAAGTGTATGGTAGAGTTATTGAAAGAATTAAGAGTAAGACGGAGAATAGGATAGCAGATAAACAAGGAGGCTTTAGGAAAGGTAGGGGATGTGTGGACCAGGTGTTTACAGTGAAACATATAAGTGAACAGTATTTAGATAAGGCTAAAGAGGTCTTTGTGGCATTTATGGATTTGGAAAAGGCGTATGACAGGGTGGATATGGGGGCAATGTGGCAGATGTTGCAGGTGTATGGTGTAGGAGGTAGGTTACTGAAAGCAGTGAAGAGTTTTTACGAGGATAGTGAGGCTCAAGTTAGAGTATGTAGGAAAGAGGGAAATTATTTCCCAGTAAAAGTAGGCCTTAGACAAGGATGTGTGATGTCACCGTGGTTGTTTAATATATTTATAGATGGGGTTGTAAAAGAAGTAAATGCGAGGGTCTTGGCAAGAGGCGTGGAGTTAAAAGATAAAGAATCACACATAAAGTGGGAGTTGTCACAGTTGCTCTTTGCTGATGACACTGTGCTCTTGAGAGATTCTGAAGAGAAGTTGCAGAGATTGGTGGATGAATTTGGTAGGGTGTGCAAAAGAAGAAAATTGAAAGTGAATACAGGAAAGAGTAAGGTAATGAGGATAACAAAAAGATTAGGTGATGAAAGATTGGATATCAGATTGGAGGGAGTATGGAGGAGGTGAATGTATTCAGATATTTGGGAGCGGACGTGTCAGCGGATGGGTCTATGAAAGATGAGGTGAATCATAGAATTGATGAGGGGAAAGGGGTGAGTGGTGCACTTAGGAGTCTGTGGAGACAAAGAACTTTGTCCTTGGAGGCAAAGAGGGGAATGTATGAGAGTATAGTTTTACCAACGCTCTTATATGGATGTGAAGCATGGGTGATGAATGTTGCAGCGAGGAGAAGGCTGGAGGCAGTGGAGATGTTATGTCTGAGGGCAATGTGTGGTGTGAATATAATGCAGAGAATTCATAGTTTGGAAGTTAGGAGGAGGTGCGGGATTACCAAAACTGTTGTCCAGAGGGCTGAGGAAGGGTTGTTGAGGTGGTTCGGACATGTAGAGAGAATGGAGCGAAACGGAGTGACTTCAAGAGTGTATCAGTCTGTAGTGGAAGGAAGGCGGGGTAGGGGTCGGCCTAGGAAAGGTTGAGGGAGGGGGTAAAGGAGGTTTTGTGTGCGAGGGGCTTGGACTTCCAGCAGGCATGCGTGAGCGTGTTTGATAGGAGTGAATGGAGACAAATGGTTTTTAATACTTGACGTGCTGTTGGAGTGTGAGCAAAGTAACATTTATGAAGGGGTTCAGGGAAACCGGCAGGCCGGACTTGAGTCCTGGAGATGGGAAGTACAGTGCCTGCACTCTGAAGGAGGGGTGTTAATGTTTCAGTTTAAAAACTGTAGTGTAAAGCACCCTTCTGGCAAGACAGTGATGGAGTGAATGATGGTGAAAGTTTTTCTTTTTCGGGCCACCCTGCCTTGGTGGGAATCGGCCAGTGTGATAATAAAAAAAAAATAAGGAGTTTCCTCTTTGATTCTGGTACAACTGAACTTGAACAAGACGGCCCAGCACCAGAGGTGTAAGGCTGAGGGTCGTCTGGGTTTTCCTCACTATTACCGATATTATGGTCATTAGTTTTGATCAAAACCTCACCAAAACCTCGAAACTCATCTTCACTGTCACTTCCATCTTTATTAGAACTGTCACTGGGGAGCAAAAGTGTCCCAATTTGCCGAGGAGTGAGGAACTTCTTACCGCGAGGCATGGTGGACATTGTTTACTAAGATGGCGTTCCCACAATGCACCACTGGGTCCCAGATTTTTTTCTACCGCGCACTCCCACCACACAGATCCATTCTCTCACATCTAGGCCTACCAGCCTTTTCCCACGAGATTTGACGGCGCTAGAATTTATGTGTACTAGTACGTCAAAAACCCCTGTGCGTAAGCCATACTAGTACGTTCGAAACCCCCAAAGGGTTAAAGGAGGGGTTTGGAATATTGATAGTTTGGAGTGACCTCTGAACTGTTGTATATAAGTGCCTCTGGAAAGACAGTGATTATGTGTGTGAGGTGAAAGTGTTGAATGGTGATGAAAGTATTTTCTTTTTGGGGATTTTCTTTTTGGGTCACCCTGCCTCAGTGGGACACAGAAAGTACCCGCATTTAAATCTGTCAGCCAGTCACCATTGTGTTACAAGCTGCGTTAATTCAGTCTTGAAAATAGACTTTATTCCTCTCTATATTACATCTGAGTTGCCTGATATTATGTCTGCCCCAGAGAGACTGTCCAGGAACTTTTTTGTGTACGTTCAGTATACTGCTGTATTAGTCCTCATTTTAAGTGATCAGTATTAAAGTTTTTTCTAATGTACAGTGTTTTAGAAATTTATAAATACTTCTAATATTTTCAAATTGTTTCCAGGTCAACAGATGGAGGAAGATGGGCAAGAATGGGTTTGTCCTAAATGTAAAAAAGCAGAGCGTGCTATGAAGGGTTTTGTGCCACCAAGTAAAAATTTAATTGACTTAACACCGACTCATGTGCCTGAGAATTTTTCTACAGAAGATGAGTTACCAGATGTATTGGTTGAGTCATTTTCCAAAACGGTGAGCCAAAGAGGGAATAGATGCATAACAGTTGATGATGAGACAGTGCCAAAGAAAACTGTTGATAGAGACAAAGAGGTAGATGTGCAACACACTAGGCAGCCAGTGACCAGGAGATCAAATATTCAGCGACAGATTCATATCACACCAGTAAAATCACTCGACGGGAAGAAGGTGGATGTCTCACGGCTAATACCTCTGTCGCCTCAAAAAAGCACTGCAGATGTAGGAAATGAGGTAAGATATATTGTTTTTGCATAATTTGCTATGTATTTTGTGATCCATATTTTTTTTTTTGGTCACTAGAATCTTTTTTTTTTTTTTTTTTTTTTTTTTTTTTTTTTTTTTTTTTAACCTTTTCAATGTCCAGCCCCCAAAATTAATATTGCTCCTTTAAAAACAAAAATCCTCTGAAATGGCAGAGAATCTTTTTCCTAAGATAATGACACAGAGATTATGAAATCTGATGGAAAAATTACAGAATTATGCAGGCACAAATATAGCTATCTGGGTGCTGTTTATGCATTGGCAATTCTATGAGTCCTATTTTAAGTTGATTCCATTGCTTTAATGGACCAAATTTTTGGTTATTTTGCTAGTATTGCTTCTGTTATATAAGTTGAGCATAAGAAACTGCCCATTCAAATATTATTATTATTATATTTTTTTTTATTATCACACTGGCCGATTCCCACCAAGGCAGGGTGGCCCGAAAAAGAAAAACTTTCACCATCATTCACTCCATCACTGTCTTGCCAGAAGGGTGCTTTACACTACAGTTTTTAAACTGCAACATTAACACCCCTCCTTCAGAGTGCAGGCACTGTACTTCCCATCTCCAGGACTCAAGTCCGGCCTGCCGGTTTCCCTGAATCCCTTCATAAATGTTACTTTGCTCACACTCCAACAGCACGTCAAGTATTAAAAACCATTTGTCTCCATTCACTCCTATCAAACACGCTCACGCATGCCTGCTGGAAGTCCAAGCCCCTCGCACACAAAACCTCCTTTACCCCCTCCCTCCAACCCTTCCTAGGCCGACCCCTACCCCGCCTTCCTTCCACTACAGACTGATACACTCTTGAAGTCATTCTGTTTCGCTCCATTCTCTCTACATGTCCGATCCACCTCAACAACCCTTCCTCAGCCCTCTGGACAACAGTTTTGGTAATCCCGCACCTCCTCCTAACTTCCAAACTACGAATTCTCTGCATTATATTCACACCACACATTGCCCTCAGACACGACATCTCCACTGCCTCCAGCCTTCTCCTCGCTGCAACATTCATCACCCACGCTTCACACCCATATAAGAGCGTTGGTAAAACTATACTCTCATACATTCCCCTCTTTGCCTCCAAGGACAAAGTTCTTTGTCTCCACAGACTCCTAAGTGCACCACTCACTCTTTTTCCCTCATCAATTCTATGATTCACCTCATCTTTCATAGACCCATCCGCTGACACGTCCACTCCCAAATATCTGAATACGTTCACCTCCTCCATACTCTCTCCCTCCAATCTGATATTCAATCTTTCATCACCTAATCTTTTTGTTATCCTCATAACCTTACTCTTTCCTGTATTCACCTTTAATTTTCTTCTTTTGCACACCCTACCAAATTCATCCACCAATCTCTGCAACTTCTCTTCAGAATCTCCCAAGAGCACAGTGTCATCAGCAAAGAGCAGCTGTGACAACTCCCACTTTGGTGTGTATCTTTATCTTTTAACTCCACGCCTCTTGCCAAGACCCTCGCATTTACTTCTCTTACAACCCATCTATAAATATATTAAACAACCACGGTGACATCACACATCCTTGTCTAAGGCCTACTTTTACTGGGAAAAAATTTCCCTCTTTCCTACATACTCTAACTTGAGCCTCACTATCCTCGTAAAAACTCTTCACTGCTTTCAGTAACCTACCTCCTACACCATACACTTGCAACATCTGCCACATTGCCCCCCTATCCACCCTGTCATACGCCTTTTCCAAATCCATAAATGCCACAAAGACCTCTTTAGCCTTATCTAAATACTGTTCACTTATATGTTTCACTGTAAACACCTGGTCCACACACCCCCTACCTTTCCTAAAGCCTCCTTGTTCATCTGCTATCCTATTCTCCGTCTTACTCTTAATTCTTTCAATTATAACTCTACCATACACTTTACCAGGTACACTCAACAGACTTATCCCCCTATAATTTTTGCACTCTCTTTTATCCCCTTTGCCTTTATACAAAGGAACTATGCATGCTCTCTGCCAATCCCTAGGTACCTTACCCTCTTCCATACATTTATTAAATAATTGCACCAAATATTACAACTACCCTAAAAAGTGCACAGGAGTCAGTAATTTTGCCAGTTTTACACAAAATTAAAATAATACCAATTTAAAAGTAAAGTGCAGAAAAAACAATGTAGACATTCTTGGCACTAAAATATTTTCTCTGTTCATTAATCACATCCCCAGGCTTTTCCTATATTACATTGTCTTCCATTTTGAATTCATAATCACACTAAAATAGAACTATTTCTTTCTTTCAACACACCGGCCGTATCCCACCGAGGCGGGGTGGCCCACCGAGGCAGGGTGGCCCAAAAGGAAAAACGAAAGTTTCTCCTTTTACGTTTAGTAATATATACAGAAGAGGTTACTAGCCCCTTGCTCCCGGCATTTTAGTCGCCTCTTACAACACACATGGCTTACGGAGGAAGAATTCTGTTCCACTTCCTCATGGAGATAAGAGGAAATAAACAAGAATAAGAACTAGAAAGAAAATAGAAGAAAACCCAGAGGGGTGTGAAGATATATGCTTGTACGTATATGTGTAGTGTGACCTAAGTGTAAGTAGACGTAGCAAGACATACCTGAAACCTTGCATGTTCATGAGACAGAAAAAAGGACACCGGCAATCCTACCATCATGTAAAACAATTACAGGCTTTCGTTTTACACTCAATTGGCAGGACAGTAGTACCTCCCTGGGCGGTTGCTGTCTACCAACCTACTACCCAGGAGAAGGATTTCTGGTTAATAAAATATACGCATGAATGATTAGTCGTGGCTGACAGCCTCTCCATAATTTAATCTGGTCTACTAAAAACCCATGAAACAGACTGGGGTGTAAGGAGACCTTATCTGTCTTCAGGAAAATTTATTATTTTCACTAATTTGAACCCAGTTTCAAGCTGCTACTTGTTCTGAAACTAATGATATAGCCAATAAAACTAAAGACACAGCCAATGAAACCATAAAACTCTCCTAGAAAATACCTCAAAGTCACTATTTTAAACCAAACACATGGTCAGTTTTGCTTTTCCCATCATGCACCGTGTGGGGCATGATTTTTTTTATACTTTGTATTCACTGTGTGGACCCATTCTCTCATATCTAGGCCAAAATTTACCACCCACAGCTTATCTGAGTGAGCTGGCTCATGACATAGAACTTATGTGAGGGACCCTGGCCTCATTGAGGTAGTTCTATGTGATGATCACTAACAGCTTTAAATACTAATGCATATTTAATAGCAGACTATAAAGTATATAATCAGGGTAACGAAGCTAAATTTTTGTCATGTCATGTCATGTAAAAGTGTAGGAAACTTGTCAGTGCACTCATTTTGCATGGTGTACCTTGCTTGAAGCAGTTACCATCCTCTGTCATTGATGTACTCTGATTGAAGCAGTCATCAACTGCTCTGTCGTTAATGTACCCTGCTTGAAGCAGTCATCAACTGCTCTGTCACTTATCAAATTTTTGTATGCTTGAAGTCACCAGCTGCATTATTTTAGTGTATTTGAACTGAGATTTAAAAACAATCTGGCGTTTATGTTTAAATTATAAGTAATAATGTTATTTGAAGGAGGGGTGAGGATATTACTGTTCAAAGGGTCATGTGAATTGTGATGCCTATGCTCTTCTGGCAAGACAGCTATTGATTGAATGATGGTGAATGCATTTCCTCTTTTGGGTCACCCTACCTCAGTGGGAAACAGCTGGTGTGTAAAACAATGGATTGATCGCAGGACTTGAGTTTTAGAAATAATTCCACCAAACAAAATGTAAGAATGTAATAATTTGATATACAAGAGGTCTACAGCAGTGATACTCAACCTATAACACAAGTTGGCCACATTGATTCATCATATCTGTAACCAGGGCTGTAAATAACATAATAATAATTCTATAATATTTATACAAAAACACTAATTAAAATATAATGATAATTATAATAGTAGTAATCATAAACCTTGTTATTTGTTTTCCAATGTCTTGGAAAAACCTATAATTATTCAAAGCATTTTTGGAAGACTTCTAGGAGAAATATTGATAGAACTTAGAATATCTACCTACAATAGCACTTAGTTTTTGTTTTGTGACTCCTGTTGGCACATACCAGAGCTGAAAGTCTCTCCTTATTTATCTTATGATTATCTGTTTGTTATTCAGCCCATCCTCACACCATGTGTAAAAGAACATTATCACATTAAGATTCCCTGGGTTCACCAAGACATGGTGCTTTAAGTCATATCTTCAGTAGTTGTTGCCCATGCTATAACACCTCTTCTTGTAGCTCATTCCATTATTTTGTCTATTTGGGATAAAAAACTTCTAGTATCTTTTTGGCACTTAGGAGTCTGTGGAGACAAAGAATGTTATCCATGGAAGCAAAAAGGAGAATGTATGAGAGTATGTTGGTTCTAATGCTCTTATGTGGATGTGAGGTATGGGTGTTGAATGTTCCAACAAGAAGAAGGCTGGAGGCTGTGAAGATGTCATGTCTGAGGGCAATGTGTGGTGTGAATATGACACAGAGAATCTGTAACTTGGAGATTAGGGGGAGGTGCAGGGTTCTAAAAGTATTATTCAGAGGGCAGAGGAGGGGTTGTTGAGGTGGTTTAGACATTTAGAGAGGATGGAACACAATGGAATGAATTGGAGGGCATATAAATCTGTTATGGAAGGAAGGCGGGGTAAGGATTGTCTTAGGAAAAATTGGAGGGAGGGGTAAGGAGGGTTTGTGTGCAAGGGGCTTGGACTTCCAGCAAGCGTGCATGTGCGTGTTAGGAGTGAGTGGAGATGAATGGTTTTTATGACGATATGCTGTTGGAGTGTGAGCAAAGTAACATTTATGAAGGGGTTCTGGGAAACCAGTTAGCTGGACTTGAACCTTGAGACGTGGGAAGTACAGTTCCTGTGACCTGAAGGAAGGGTGTTGATGTGTGT